CCATACATTAACATATGGTAGAAAACTGGGGTGTAAGAGCAGCCAGACATTAACATGGTAGAAAACTGGGTGTAAGAGCAGCCATACATTAACATATGGTAGAAAACTGGGTGTACAGAGCAGCCATACATTAACATATGGTAGAAAACTAGGTGTACAGAACAGCCATACAAAAACATAAATTGGGAACTAGAGAAGTAACATTTGCAAAGCAAATGCATAATGTTTACCTTCGGACATGGTCTTCTCTGTTAATTTTTACTTTAACACATTCACATACATGTACTACTAGTATGTGGTGACAGGAGTAGAACAGACCATGAAATTGCAACATTATGTAACCATTATAGTAACAGATGTCAACAAATCATGTCATTGGTCAGGTCATAACACTGTTTGGAGAAGAAGAAGAGGAAGAAACTGAGCAAAAACTAGAAAGGCCGACATTTGCGTGGGAGGGAATACAGCATATTTCAGTCCATCTCCCTCCCACGCAAAAGTGGACTATTCCAAACTTACCCCAGTGCAAAACTGGCAAAGGTTCTCAAATAAATGAATTAAGTAGTAGCTATATGAGAACAAAGATGCAACAACAAGTACTTTGAATCTCGAAAGCTTTACTAATCTTATTACAGGTATGCAAAAACTAACAATGATGAGATTTGATACATTCTGAAGGTCTTAGGCACATAAAATTGAATGTGTGGGTCATTACCCACCACTTAGGTGCAATGTGACCTCAGGTAACCCGCAATGGAACACGTGTTCCATGGATGGAACTGGCCATTTTTTAGATAGAACATGGAACGGGTACAGCACTTTTGGCCCTTTTTTGCTGAAAATAGCCATTAAAGTCCCCCAAATGAGTCATTTGGAAGTGGTGTATGCCAAATACATGACTGCTATTCTGTAGACACACGTTCAATGTACCCTTATACCGAATGTCATATCATTTGGTTGTAATACTAGGGCTCAGGATCCAAAAATCCATTTTTTGTCGAAAAATGCCCCAAAAAACCTTCATAAAAATTTTTCAAAGGCATGTTTACAAAAAAAATAAAAAAAACGTCTAGGGGGTAATTTGCCCACTCTACCTCCATGCCAAATTTCAGGTCATTTGGCTGAATAATGGCGGAGTTGAATCCCTCTGAACGAGTGGCAGGAGGAGGAGGAGAAGGAGGAGAAGGAGGAGAAACATGAGGGAACCTGCCCATAGGCGTACCAGAGGAAGTCATGAATATAAATATCAAGCAATACCTGCCAAATCAGACTGTTTTAGATTTTCTTTTTTTCCAAGAACGATAAATGAGTGGAACAAATTGCCGGGCCAGCTTGTAAAAGCCCAGACAGTGAAGGCCTTCAAGGCCGGGCTTCTGGCCGCACAGCCATAGTCCGTCGCACCCCCCCCCTCTCAGTGATACCCCAGTAGGGGTGGTTAGAGAGTATTAAAGAAGAAGAAGAAGAAGGAACACAATATATTTCATCCATACCATGGTATGGACTGAAATATAACAAGATGTTTTCCTTCGGTAAACATAAAAAACTGGGTGTGCAGCACAGCCATACATTAACATAAGTTTATCATACTGTAACAGTACAGTTACAGTCGTTTGAGACTTACTCAAAGAAGAGTGGCCTGGCGACCGCCTCCCCCATCTTGTTGGCTCGGTGGAAGAGGAAGTAAAGGTGGGGCAGGAGGGAGTACCGCGTCAGCAGCACTGACCTGATGGCCTGCTGGGTGGCTGCGCTCCAGACTATGGGCTCCTGGGGCTGGCAAACCATGCAGACATTAGCACAGTAAATAAAACACAATAGCAGAATGACAGGGCAGACCTGGTGGCCTGCTGATAGCACATGTAGCACAGTGAATAAAATACAAATTAAAATAGCCCAACATTGCAGTTATAAGTGTGTTGTGGTTGTGTGAGAAGAGAGAGGAGAGCTGTACCTTTGCTCCCAGTGTGATGTGGTTGTGAGAGAAGGGAGATGAAAGCTGTACCTTTGCTCCCAGTGTGTTGTGGTTGTGAGAGAAGGGAGAGGAAAGCTGTACCTTTGCTCCCAGTGTGTTGTGGTTGTGAGAGAAGGGAGAGGAAAGCTGTACCTTTGCTCCCAGTGTGCTGTGGTTGTGAGAAGGGAGAAGAAAGCTGTACCTTTGCTCCCAGTGTGTTGTGGTTGTGAGAGAGGAGAGCTGTACCTTTGCTCCCAGTGTGTTGTGGTTGTGAGAGAGGAAAGCTGTACCTTTGCTCCCAGTGTGTTGTGGTTGTGAGAGAAGGGAGAGGAAAGCTGTACCTTTGCTCCCAGTGTGTTGTGGTTGTGAGAGAAGGGAGAGGAAAGCTGTACCTTTGCTCCCAGTGTGTTGTGGTTGTGAGAGAGGAGAGCTGTACCTTTGCTCCCAGTGTGTTGTGGTTGTGAGAGAAGGGAGAGGAAAGCTGTACCTTTGCTCCCAGTGTGTTGTGGTTGTGAGAGAAGGGAGAGGAGAGCTGTACCTTTGCTCCCAGTGTGTTGTGGTTGTGAGAGAGGAGAGCTGTACCTTTGCTCCCAGTGTGTTGTGGTTGTGTGAGAAGGGAGAGGAAAGCTTTACCTTTGCTCCCAGTGTGCTGTGGTTGTGAGAAGGGAGAAGAAAGCTGTACCTTTGCTCCCAGTGTGTTGTGGTTGTGAGAGAGGAGAGCTGTACCTTTGCTCCCAGTGTGTTGTGGTTGTGAGAGAGGAAAGCTGTACCTTTGCTCCCAGTGTGTTGTGGTTGTGAGAGAAGGGAGAGGAAAGCTGTACCTTTGCTCCCAGTGTGTTGTGGTTGCGGGAAAACGGGTAGAAGGCTCCCAGCTGCTGCCAGCGTAAGCATAGCTCCTCGTTTGTGTCGCCTCCGAACCCACAAATATCAGCTCCGACCAGCGGGATGCCAAACATGTTCATGTTCAGCAGGCCTGAAACAAACGGCAATCCTCAACCTTCATAACTCATTATCCTGTAACACAACTGTTACAGCACTTATCCTGGAACACAACTGTTACAGCACTTATCCTGTAACACAAATGTTACAGCACTTATCCTGTAACACAACTGTTACAGCACTTATCCTGGAACACAACTGTTACAGCACTTATCCAGAAACACAACTGTTACAGCAATTATCCAGAAACACAACTATTACAGCACTTACCTGAAACACAACTGTTACAGCACTTATCCTGTAACACAACTGTTACAGCACTTATCCTGGAACACAACTGTTACAGCACTTATCCTGGAACACAACTGTTACAGCACTTATCCTGGAACACAACTGTTACAGCACTTATCCTGAAACACAACTGTTACAGCACTTATCCTGGAACACAACTGTTACAGCACTTATCCTGTAACACAAATGTTACAGCATTTATCCGCTTTCATTATCCTGAAACAAACCAGCAATCATCCACTTTCATAGCTATTAAATATTATAATTCTTTTTCCCAGAAACTCACCAGGTATGGAGTAGTACGTGTAGAAAACTCACCAGGTATGGAGTAGTACATGTAGGAAACATGTAGGAAACGTGTAGAAAACTCACCAGGTATGGAGTAGTACATGTATTAAACATGTAGGAAACGTGTAGAAAACACCAGGTATGGAGTAGTACATGTAGGAAACTCACCAGGTATGGAGTAGTACATGTAGGAAACTCACCAGGTATGGAGTAGTACATGTAGGAAACATGTAGGAAACATGTAGGAAACTCACCAGGTATGGAGTAGTACATGTAGGAAACATGTAGGAAACGTATAGGAAACATGTAGGAAACTCACCAGGTATGGAGTAGTACATGTAGGAAATATGTAGGAAACGTATAGGAAACATGTAGGAAACTCACCAGGTATGGAGTCGTACATGTAGGAAACATGTAGGAAACTCACCAGGTATGGAGTAGTACATGTCCCTCCAGGTTGACTTGTTGTCGCCGAGCCAGTGACCTCCGTGGCGGCCGCTGCTGGGGAAGGTCGAGCGAGAAATGACGACGGGCCGCTTGCCTCGGATGCTCACCAGGGCACTGGGGGGGGGGGGGGTGTCGGGGGTTACACATCAGCTTACAGGCACATCTTGTGACTACAAAAGACTTACCCCTAGATAATTATTAACTACAATTACCAACAATTTTCAGCAATGTCAGCAGAAATCATACAGAATTAGGATATTCACTGCTAGAATCAAACAATCACAGTTGGCTATGATTAGAGTTCGCACTTGTGAGAGGCGATGATCTCGAAGTGTCCGTAGAGGTTGTGCAGATTGTAGTGGGAGGACAGGTGCTGCCGGGAGGAGGCACAGAGCGTCATGGCCGACAGACTGCCCCCAACCACAGCTGCAACACACAGGTGCAAATCAGTTTTACCCAACCACAGCTGCAACACAACAAATCAGTTTTGCCCAACCACAGCTGCAACAGATTCATCCTTTATTGGTGGTAATAGTTTTTAATAGACATTCAGGTAATGATCATGAGATAAGTTATAAAAATGTTACTCAAGCAACTATATTTGAAAAATAGGTACATGTTCCGTACCATTCACTACTTTTCTTCGTTCGATTTTTTTCAAAATCTAGGTCTTGGATTACATTTTATGTAGCAAGCAGCAGGACAGATTGGGAGGGGCTGGTCACTGGTTATTTGTGTTTGGGAAAAAATAAACAAAGTTGTAGTTTGTTAGGCAATGTTTTAGCTTTACAAACGTAATCTGTCTATTAGTAATTTCATTTTCATTTTTATGTTTTCTTATTGATTGAGTATTGATGGCTTGATTGATTGACGGATTGATTGACAGCCCTTCATGACTCACTTCCTTGAGCTGCTGGCATGGAACAGGCCGAACAGACTGTGCAGGTTGTAGTGAGTCCCGAGGTGCTGCACAGACGAGGCACACAGCGAACGCCACGACAGGCGACGGAACAAATTCACAGCTGTCAGGAGACAAATCCGTGTGTTTCATTTCACCGGTTTGTTGCAAATTCAGGGCTGGAAATACTGCTGGGAAGCTTTGTTGTAGTACTTGTTTAAGGTCCCATGTCAGATTCAAGCTCAAGATTCAAGAGGAGCAGTAAGATCTGTAACAGTTGTTAGGTTTTGTTTTACAAATTATTATGGTGCACCAAGATAGTTGGGTGCACCAGTGCACCTATTTCCAAAAATGAATTTAGAGCCCTGAAATTCTAACACTCCAGCTAGGAGCACTATTGGGTGGTCTATCATACATGTACTTCTTCCTGATTGGTTAGGAGGTTTCAAACCGGTTCTAACCGGCCGACCACTTTGCCAAAAGTGGTCCAGAGACCCGATAGGAATTATACAAGTCGAAAGTTTAGTAGTCAACATCTGGGACAGAAAAATAGTAAAATCTTTGTTGTTGTAATGTTCAATATTTTGAAGTTAGCTCCCGTTTCAGATTTAAGCTCAGAAGAGGAGCAGTAAGATCTGTTATTAAAAAGTCTTGTTTTATATGGTCCACCAAAAATTTGTGTGCCCCTAATTTTTTAGGTTGGATGCACCTATTCCTAAAAATGAATTTGGAGGCCTGGTTTGCCCGGAGTTCTTACCTGGAGTGTAGGGAGGTTTCTCCAGTTCCTAACACTGCTGTATGGTACTGCTGTGACAGTGGTACTGCTGTGACAGCGATACTGCTGTGACAGTGGTACTGCTGTGACAGCGGTACTGCTGTGACAGTGGTACTTACCTGGAGTGTACGGAGGTTTCTCCAGTTCGTTGTCGGGGCAACCGTGAGTCGACCCATCCACAAAGTTGGACGGCTCGTTCATGTCCTGAAAACAGAAAAGAAAAATCTATTATCTATTATTAAGTTCCTTCCTAAACTGTTCTTACATCAACCATAAAATACATTGTTTGAAAAGCTGGAACAAGTCCACTTCCCGTCAAAGGGGACTTCCTTGTGGAAGGTTCAGGTTTAGGTTTGAGTTGTGACCAAACTTGTTGTACATCTGTACAGTAAATGTAAGTACTACATGCCTGAAGTGCGGACGGCTTTGTGCCTTGAGCTTCGGACTGAGAAGCCATATGAGGACACATCCCCAGTGACGAAGGACTAATACAGGTTCAGGTTTGAGCTGTGTTTGTTTGTTTGTTTGTTTGTTTGTTTGTTTGTGACTTACGATCCACATCCCGTCTGTACAGTAAGTGTTAGGAATACAGGTTCAGGTTTGAGCTGTGTTTGTCTGTTTGTTTGTTTGTTTGTGACTTACGATCCACATCCCGTCAAAGGGAACTTCCTTGTGGAAATCTGCTGCCATCTCCAGCCACCACTGTTGGGTGATGGGATTGGTGAAGTCTGGGAACGTGGTATCTCCTGGCCAGACCTGCAGGGAATGGGGTAACCATGTTATTACCATATAATGATTGAAACTTTGTCTGAATGTAGTTTCCATCATGATAGTAACAACATGTACGACTTTCAAAATCATACAGATAGGTGCGAGACAACACTCCCCTCTTACTTACCCTCCCCACAATGGGGTTCCAATTAGTGTCGTTAATGAACACTCCCCTCTTACTTACCCTCCCCACAATGGGGTTCCAATTAGTGTCGTTAATGAACAGTCCCCTCTTACTTACCCTCCCCACAATGGGGTTCCCGTTGGTGTCATTAATGAACACTCCCCTCTTACTTACCCTCCCCACAATGGGGTTCCCGTTGGTGTCGTTAATGAACACTCCCCTCTTCAGCCCCACGTCATAAGGAGGATACGTCCCTGCCTTCTGCACATTGCTGATGCCTGGGTCCTGAAAAATCAATAAACAAATTAACACAAAAACACACACAAACACATACGCACATGCACACGCTCTCATACACATACACACACACACACACACACACACATGCACACGAATACACACATGCAAACACACATACACACACACAAACACACACACATGCACACACACACACACATGCACACACACACTCACACACACACACACACACACATATGCACACACACACACATACATTGCTGATGCCTGGGTCCTGAGAGAGTTAACAAGTGGTCACACCAAAATACATGTCTCTGAGTAATGACTATAGACAGTTACTCACCACGATCATGATGTAATGCTGCCCGTGTTCGTGTAGGTTCTTCACTATGATGTAAGTTAGCCAGTAATAATACAGTAACTGTAATGCTAGTAACGACAGTAATGACAGTAATGAGGTTACTGACCACAATCATGATGTAATGCTGCCCGTGTTCGTGCAGGTCCCTCACTACGATGTAAGTTAGCCAGTAATAATACTGTGACAGTAAGTGTACAGTAGACAGTAATGCTGAGGTAACTCACCACGATCATGATGTAATGCTGCCCGTGTTCATGCAGGTTTTTCACCACCGCCGGCAGCTCCGAAAACTTCGCTTCGTCTCGAGTCCAGTCCAGGTGACTCTGCATGTAGTCTATGTCGTTCCACTGCGTATCCTAGCAACAGCCAATCAAAACACGTCATCATCAATGTATCCTAGCAACAGCCAATCAAAACACGACTCATCATTAACGTATCCTAGCAACAGCCATACAAAACATGTCATCAAAGCAACATCCAATCATTTAGCCACTGAAGAAGCCACAAAAGCAGTCTGAGCAACAGGCTGAATCAAGGTTCTAAACAGGAACCATGCAGCACACAGGCACTCACTATCCTGGATTTGATTAAACTGCTGCCGTTGTCCCTGCCACAGGGGTCGGCAGCAGTCGGCTAGTAGCACTGGTCTTAGCTCCAAGGTGTCTTACTGAGGAAGGACTGTGGTGCAAAACATGCCGGTCAGCTGAGGAAAGATTCCACACTTATACCCCGATCACAGGTACCATCATTACAGCTGGTTCTTACACACTGTACCTGTGGGATGCCGGCATTGCGCATCTTCTGTGCGATGTCCAGGGTCCGGTTAGCATTGTGTACAGGAGTTCTCACACTACTCATGCCCCCAGCACTATCACAGTCCTGTTACAGCTGCTTACCTGTGGGATGCCAGCATTGCGCATCTTCTGTGCGATGTCCAGGGTCCGGTTAGCCGAGCCGTAACCCCATCTGCACAGGTGGAACCCCAGCGCCCAGTATGGCGGCATCATCGGATAGCCTACAGGGGGGTGGGGGGAGAAACGTCAGACATAACACATCATCGGATAGCCTACAGGGGGGGAGGGGTGAGAAACATCAGACATAACACATCATCGGATAGCCTGCAGGGGGGGTGAGAAACGTCAGACATACATCATCAGATAGCCTGCAACAGGGAGGGGGGTGGAAAACATCAGACATAACACATCATCGAATAGCCTGCAGGGGGGGAGAGATGGCAGTGTATGACAGTGGTACTGCTGTGACAATGGTACTGCTATGACAGTGGTACTGCTGTGACAGTGGTACTGCTGTATGACAGTGGTACTGCTGTGACAGTGGTACTGCTGTGACAGTGGTACTGCTGTGACAGTGGTACTGCTGTGACAGTGGTACCGCTGTATGACAGTGGTACTGCTGTGACAGTGGTACTGCTGTGACAGTGGTACTGCTGTGACAGTGGTACTGCTGTGACAGTGGTACCGCTGTATGACAGTGGTACTGCTGTGACAGTGGTACTGCTGTGACAGTGGTACTGCTGTATGATAGTGGTACTGTTGTATGGTACTGCTATGACAGTGGTACGTACCGATAACGTCCCAGTACTGCTGAGTGACAGTGGTACGTACCGATGACGTCCCAGTACTGCTGTGACAGTGGTACTGCTGTATGGTACTGCTGTGACAGTGGTACGTACCGATGATGTCCCAGTACTGCTGTATGACAGTGGTACTGCTGTATGGTACTGCTGTGACAGTGGTACGTACCGATGACGTCCCAGTACTGCTGTATGACAGAGTTGGGGTCGGGGCCCAGGAGGATGTAGAAGTCCAGGATGCCGCCGATGGTTCTCCAGGTCAGGGCAGGAGCCGGCTGCAGGATCACCTCTGCAGGGAAACAGTCATTAGGCAGTAATTATTCAGTCATTATTCAGTCATTATTCAGGCATTAGTCAGCCACTATTCAGGCATTAGTCAGTCATTACTCAGTCATTCGTCAGTCATTATTCAGTCATTATTCAGGCATTATTCAGCCATTATTCAGGCATTATTCAGCCATTATTCAGCCATTATTCAGGCATTATTCAGCCATTATTCAGCCATTATTCAGGCATTACTCAGTCATTAGTCATTCGTCAGTCATTATTCGGTCATTATTCGGTCATTATTCGGTCTTTATTCGGTCATTATTCGGTCTTTATTCGGTCATTATTCGGTCTTTATTCGGTCATTATTCGGTCTTTATTCGGTCATTATTCAGTCACTATTCAGTCACTATTCAGTACTGTACGCAGAACTACTGTACCCAGCGTTACCGTTTGTTTGTACTGACCAGGGCTTTAGCCAGCTCAAAATTTTTCACCGTCAACCCCAAGTCAACCCAATTCGCGTTGACGGTAAGATTGAAAAAAACAAAAAAATTTACCGTCAACATGAAAAAAATTCCGTCAATAATTACTTAACTTTCGCGATCCAATGATCGGCATCACGCCCTCCCGCACACTTCATTCACACGCACGCGACAATTACAATTACAAACAACAAGCACGCACAAATAAAGCAAATCATTTCTTCTGAAAGTTTATTAGATAAAAAGAAACACAATTTCATTCCTATTACCATCACCAGATAAAAATCACCGCACAATTAAAGACATTTCACTCTGAGAGTCTGCGTCTCCTTCAATGACATTTATCATGAACAATTTGCTAAACCGACTACAAGACTGCATGCCACAACTTCAGCGAAAAATTCGAGGTAAGAAATTATTTACAATGATAATAAGATCCTGATGACGGCAAGTCGGCGAGCGGACTACAAGACTTCATGTCACAACTTCATCGACAAATTTCGAGGTAAGAAATATTTTTACAATTCTAATAATAATAAGATCCTTCCACGATCTCCACAATCATCTATATCGTCGTTTCAAGCTTAGTTTATACGAGGTCAAGAGATGCTTTACGAAATAAAAAGGGACTCTAGGTCTGAATACCGCCCAAGTCAACGTAAACACTCACTTGGCGCAGTTTGCCTCGTCATTTTAGAAACAAGATGGCGGCCAGCAGCAAAAAAAAAAAAAACACACGTGCACGTCATTCTGGGTTGAAAGGTCATAGGATCGTACCAAGTCTGAAGTTGCGATTGTGAAAATTTCATGCTATTCTAGTTCTACAATTTACACAGGCAGGAATTGTGACAGTACGACGTTGACTTGTACGGTTGTAATAAGTAACTTCTAAGATAACTCATCTAGCAGCTGCTAGTGCCTAAGTAAAATGTTCAAGGCACGTTACTGAAAAGTCCGACGCTCTCGCCTGCCATGTTGACAAAACTGGACTAGTTCAGGATTCGCCTGTTTCTAGCAGCGGCCCACGCAACAAATGCTCTGTGGAAGTTGAACTCTGCTCTGACCGGGCCGTTGATCGAAATCCTCATCAAGGTGTCCAGGCGCTTCACTGAGAGGGAGTTTCTGAGGCGGGTCTTGATTCGGTTCTGGGTGGAAAACCCCCTCTCACAGTCCGCGGTGTGCATTGGTAGCAACCTCCCAACAGTTGCTAACTTTAGCATGTTGGGGAACAGTTCTCTTCCGTGCACCCGCTCCAGCTCCTCCCACAGCGAGTCCGTTGTCAGGGCGACGTTGTGACGTCGGCGCTGGTACATGAGCTGCTTCACCATCCCCCACTCCTGGCGCGTCTGCTCTGGGTCGACAGTCAGGGGCTGATCGGCTGGACCACCTCCATAGGTGGCCAGCAGAGTGTTCAGTTCTTCCCTGCCATACTGTCCCAGTGCCGCCTGATCCCGTGGCATGTTCTTAGGGTCGATAATCCCGAACGCCGTGACGAGCTCGGTTTCGGGAAACCGGTCTGTCAGGTTCTGCACGACAGCGGCGACGAAGTTGACTGTGAGGTTCTCCGCCTGTTCTCTGGCTCTCTCGGTGTTGTTGCTGATTTCGACCCCGGGAAACATTGTTGCCAAGTCCGCCTCTACAAAACTTGTCAGTGATGGGCCGTGATGTCCAGCTGCAATGTTGTTGAGGGCTTCGATGGCGGACGTCACCGTTGGATGAACCCTTGAGAAGTCAAGCCCTTGTGTTTGGAACACTTTGCTGATCATGTTCAGGATGGCGAACACGTCCTCCAGCATGTGCAGAACGAACATGAACTTGTAGTTCCTTAGCTCGTTGAACATTCCTGCCGCCTGTGGGTCTTCCTCGGCTTCCTCCCCAAACAGTTCGAGAAGAGAGCGCAGTGAGCGCCGGATGTTGACAATGCAATTGCCAAAGCTGAGCCACCTGACTTTGTGAAGCTCCAACATCTTCAAAACAGGCTCTTCTAGTGCCTGTTGCACGTTCTTCAGTTCCTGGCTTCTTTTTCCCGACCTCGCAAAGTAGGTGTGTAGTGCGCCGACCGTGTTTTGCATCCTTCTAAGGTACGGGAAGTTTGCTGCTGCCTGGCTGACGGCAAGGCTGTGTCGGTGTGCTGCACAGTGGGTAGTGTAGGCCAGGGGGTTTTCCTGTTTGAGGAGACTTGCCACGCCGCTCTTTCTCCCCACCATCACATTTGCTCCGTCTGTTCCCAGTCCACAAACTTTGGCCACTGGAATCCCGCGCTCCTCCAAAGTCGTCAACAGGGCCTGGTAGATGTTTTCAGCGTTAGCCGGGCCGTCTACTTCATGTAGCTTTAGAAATCTCGTCTTGATCACTCCCTCACTGCAGAGACTGAGGAACACGATCAAGTTCTTTGACACGCTGATATCCGTGCTTTCGTCAATCATGATAGAAACAGCCTCACTGTTCGCTATCTCCGCGGCTAAGTCCTCGTCAAGGACGCCAGCTATCGCGTCTTGAAAGTCATTGGCGGCTTGGGCGGAATCATACGTAGCGTTGCCTCCAGTTTGCAGATGGACCACGGCTTCACATCCAACGTCCTTCTCTAGCTCCAACAGTGGTTTGTGTTTTCTTGTCGCCAGTTCTTCCTTGGCCAAGAAATAGACGTTTTTCATTGCGGCTACCACTCCGATCTCTGCCTTGCTCACAGCTGTCTTCGCCGCATTGACTATGTTGCCGGACATCTTGTCCTCCCGCTCTGCTGCCCTGTGTCCCTTAGACTCCTTGTGGCCATCCAGTGTGTCTTTTTGAAAGCTTGCACTTCCACCAATTGAAAATGCGCCCTTCTTTCGATGCTTGATGCAAAGTTTACAGTACATTCTGTTCTCATCTGTCCGGTACTCTAACCAGTCAGCGTAGTCTTTGTTGCTAAGCCAACTGGGCAGAAACTTCCGTTTTGTCTGCGGCTGACATGGTGATGACACGTTGGCGTTCTCGTCTGTCTTGTCCGAATTCTTCTGCTTTTTCTTCGGCGGACTGGAAGTTGACACGGTACATGTTTGGGGAGCAGAGTCGCCTACCTTGTCCAACTTGTCCTGGCTTTTCTTCGTCGAACTTGAGGAGACTTGAGGAGAAGTCGACGGGACGCTGCTAGAGGCACTGGGCACCTTCCAAAAATCGCTCAAGGTTCTCTTCATGTTTGCATTGGATCACGAGCGCTCACGGCCGTCCAGCTCGAAAGTAAATTGTTCGAATGACCGAAGCAGCGTATCGCTTGGTCCCTTCTGACCGTATTTTATTGTCATTTATGAACGTTGGCACACGTTGTTTATTTATCTTATTGTCATGTACACTTACTTGCGTGTGCCATTGTTTTATTTTATTTTTATGTGGCCGTTAGCACATGTTGTTTTGACAGACAGCTAGAATGAACAATAGAACCTACTCAACCGGCGTCGGCACGTCCCCATAAGTCAGGTTTCCCGCCGTATGCAAATAAGACATGCGTGGGACGGCGTGGTTCAAAGACGCCGCGCGCTTGGAAATGACGCCGCGCGCTCGGAAATGACGCCGCGCCGTGAACCGGGCGTGGTTTATTCAAATTTGCCGGACGTTTTCTATGTGTTAGCCCATGATTTTTGACCGTCAAGGTTGACGGTAAGGACTTAAATTTTTACCGTCAGACGCAAGAAATTACCGTCAATTGACGGTAAAACGGGCGCTGGCTAAAGCCCTGGTACTGACCCATAGCGTTACTGTTTGTTTCTTCTTCTTCTTCTTCTTCTTCGATACTCTCTAACCACCCCTACTGGGGTATCACTGAGAGGGGGGGGAGGTGCGACGGACTATGGCTGCGCGGCCAGAAGCCCGGCCTTGAAGGCCTCCACTGTCTGGGCTTTTACAAGCTGGCCCGGTAACTTGTTCCACTCATTTATCGTTCTTGGAAAAAAAGAAAATCTAAAACAGTCTGTTTTGGCAGGTATTGCTTGATACTTATATTCATGACTTCCTCTGGTACGCCTATGGGCAGGTTTGAGGTATTGTTCCATTTGAATATTAATATGTCCATGAGCAATTTTATATAAAGATATCAAGCGAGCGGTTCTCCTTCTGTCAACAAGTAACGGCCACTGGAGGCGCTTTAGCATGTCAGAAACACTGCTGGTGTAGTCATAATCACTAACAGCCATTCGCGCCGCCCTTCGTTGGACTCGCTCCAACGCCTGGGAACCACCGATGGTGTGGGGATCCCATACAGTCGCACAGTACTCCAGGTGTGGGCGTACAAGTGTTCTGTAACATGTAGATTTGACACGAGGAGGACAGTGCGAAAGGTTACGGCGGATGACTGCCAGTATCCTATTAGCTCTACCAGTGACATAATTTATATGTGTGTCCCATTTCATATCCTGTGATAGTTGGACTCCAAGATATGGATGGGTTTTAACACTAGTAAGATTTTCTGAACATAATTGGTATTGTGTAATAATCGGGTTACGCTTACGAGTACATTTGTAATATGAAGTGTGTGGCACTTTGATGGGTTGAAGGACATTTGCCATGTGTCCTGCCACCGGGTCAGCGCATCGAGATCTTTTTGTAGATCAAGAGCATCTGAGGGTTTTTCAATAACCCGGTACAACAGGCAGTCATCGGCAAACAAACGCACACTAGAGGTCACAACACTCGGAAGATCATTGATATAAAGGAGAAACAAAAGCGGACCCAAAACAGTGCCTTGCGGTACTCCAGACACTACCTTGGCGGGCTTAGAGGCCACACCATCAAGGACAACTGATTGGGTTCTTTGAGTGAGAAAAGCTTGTAGCCATGTTAGTAACTTGCCAGAGATGCCATAGTGCTGGAGCTTATTCAGTAAGCGACTGTGGGGGACCTTATCAAAAGCTTTACTGAAATCCAGCACAATGGCGTTGACCTGCTTATTTAGGTCTAGAGTACTAGCCAAGTCATGGGTTGTCAAAAGTAGTTGACTCTCGCATGATAGTCCTTTACGAAAACCGTGCTGTGTCGAAGATAATATATTATATTTGTCAAGGTGGCTCATGGTATGGCTGTGTATAATATGTTCCAAAACTTTGCTACAGACTGAGGTGAGCGACACCGGCCTGTAGTTAACAGGTGAGGTTTTATCTCTCTTCTTAAAGATGGGGCTAATATTAGCGGCTCTCCAATCTGCTGGGACGTCGCCAGTGTCTAGTGACTGTGTAAAAATAACCTGTAGCACAGGTGCAATTTGGGTTGCTGTGATTTTTAATAATCTTGGTGAGAGTCCATCTGGGCCCGAGGCCTTGTTTGGATTAAGCTTAGAAAGCTGTTTGGCGACGCCATTCACCGATATGTAGAGAGGCGGTGCGTGCGGAGCCACCGGTCTCCCTAGGGATGGGATGTTGGTTAGGTCCTCCTCTGTGAAGACAAAACTAAACTGATCACCCAGGGCATCTACCTTCTCCTTTGGGTCTGAAGTAAGCACACCATGATGCCTCATGGCTGCAATATTGGTATTGTCGTGTTTTAGTGCTTTTATATAACTCCAGAATGCTTTAGGGTTGTCTTTAATGTTTTCTTCAAGGAAATTGGCGGTGTACTCTCTGTGGGCTTTTTTAACTCTTTGCTTGACCGCTTTTCTGCATGACTTGAATTTGGACCATGTTTCTTTTGAGTTAGTGCTCTTAGCTTTTGAATAGAGTTTGTCCCTTTTACGCATCGCCCTTCTAATTTGGGGTGAAATCCACGGCTGGTTATGTAGGCATCTTGCCTTCTTCCTAGGAATGTGTTTGTTTACTGTCGCTAAAATGTTTTCTTTAAAGTCTTCCCAGTTTTCCGAGGCTGTCCTTTTATTAGCTCTTTTTAGAAAGTTATTACTATAGGTTTCCATGTCCTTCTGGAGTTGCTCCAAATTCCCCTTTCTCCACTGGTAGACTAGTCTGCCATGTTTGAGCACTTTTTGTGCCTTGGTATGCACATCAATTATTGGAATGTCGTGATCACTTAGACCAGGAACAATTTTGCTTTTTTCTACTAGAGTGGGATTAGAAGTGAAAAACAAGTCTAGAATATTTGCGGTATGTTCCGTACGATGTGTGGGTTCATTAATGATTTGCTCCAGTCCTACATCATTAACCAAATTAATATATTTATTGGTGAGGTTAGTGACTACACTTGAGGAATTACTGGTTATGTCCATACCCCAAGTTGCAGTCGGTAGGTTAAGGTCACCTGCTAACCATATATGTGGGTTACCAGGCTTCCTTCGTATGTTTGTAAGGGACTGTTCCAATGCTTGGTAGTCATCTAGACCAGCTGATGGAGGACGGTAGTAGGCTCCAATGTACATCGACTTACTGTGTACTAAGTCAATCTTGACCCAAGTTAATTCATTTGTGGTACTAAGTTCGGGATGATGAGTGGCTATAAGATTATTCTTGGTGGCGACAAAGACCCCTCCACCGCGGCCTTCTCTATCTTTCCTATGTGCCGTATATGAGGGTGGAAAAATCTCACTGTTACTTATTGATGAGTCTAGCCAGGATTCGGTTCCTATAATAATGTCGGGGTCCACCGTATCACAGAAGACCTGAAATTCTGCGGTCTTGTTTCGTATTGACTGAAAGTTAACAACTGCAGCTCTGAGGGGTTTACCTCGTGATCGGTCCCTCGGTGGGTGTTTAGGGACTTGGCTAGTCGGGGTAGATGAGGCTACAGGTGAGCCTACAGAACTCCCTGAGCAGGAGCAGGGGCTAGAATCAGGTGTCGGAAAAGCAAAACAGTTTGAGGTTTCAAATATAGTAGAATCAAACAAGCTGGAGCCAAGGTTAGGGAGACCGCAACTACAACAGATCCATGATATGTTAGGGCGATTTATAGCGTTATACACTGGTGTCGACATGCCCATACAGTCTGTGTGATACCAGGTGTCACACGTATCACAACAGACTGCCCTGCGCCCATCAACCTTCTCCCATTTAACAGCTCTGCGACACACGCCACAAGGGTACTTCGGTGCTCGTGGGCCAGGGTTGGGCTGAATGTCTCCACCCCGTAGTATAAGAAGAAGAATATATAATACAGTAGCCTTTGGTTTCCTTAAAAGGATCCAATTCTGATTATGGTTATGGTTGATAATGAAAGAAACAAGTGGAAACAGATTGGAATCTTTCCAGTCTGACGAGTTAATACTGGTGATAGATGGAAAAATGGAATTGGGAAGTTGTATATTTGAAATGTTTGTTTGTTTGTACTGACCCAAAGCATTACTGTTCGTTTGTTTGTTTGTTTGTACGTACCCATGGTGTTACTGTTTGTTTGTTTGTTTGTACATACCCATGGTGTTACTGTTTGTTTGTTTGTTTGTACATACCCATAGCGTTACTGTTTGTTTGTTTGTTTGTTTGTTTGTTTGTTTGTACGTACCCATGGTGTTACTGTTTGTTTGTTTGTACATATCCATAGCGTTACTGTTTGTTTGTTTGTTTGTTTGTTTGTACGTACGTACCCATAGCGTTACTGTTTGTTTGTTTGTTTGTTTGTACGTACCCATAGCGTTACTGTTGAGCAGAAACACGCCGTGAGCTTGCCCATCGTCCTCCACACACAGGTAGAAGGGGTGCGAGCCGTACAGGTTCGTCACATCCTCCTGTGGGGGGGGGGGGAACACATCTGTAAATAACTTCATCCGGTTGGGAAATCAGATCAAAATTGTTTCAGGCGTATTGTTTATGTAAGGCAGCCATGTTCACAAATTACCCCATCTGTAGGTTTCAACTATCCTATGAAACAGTGAAAATTATGATGCAATGTTGACCAAACATGCGAATCGTGGATTCCTGCAGGCTAGGCGCAGTACACTCTGCCGACGTGCTTCGGACAGGTGACCTGTGCTGACCTTTGCCTCGGCAGCCTGCTTGTCGCGTGCCCAGAAGGGGATCCGGATCCAGCCGGTTTTGTGTCGCAGCGGGCCGCGGTGTTCGCCCAGCCCGTACACGTTCCCGGACGGCAGCGAGGTCGACATCTCCAGGAACTGGTCAGCATAAATCAGGGGCGCCACGGTCGTGTTCAAACTGCAACAAAATATACAAAATATGGTCAGCGTAAATCAGGGGCGCCACGGTCGTGTTCAAACTGCAACAAAATACACAAAATATGTCGTGTTCAAACTGCAACAAAATATTTACACAAAATATGGTCAGCGTAAATCAGGGGCGCCACAGTTGTGTTCAAACTGCAACAAAATACACAAAATATCAAACTGCAACAAAATAAACAAAATATCACACTGCAACAAAATACACAAAATATTAAATTATATCTTTGAGACTTGAGAGTTGAGACAGTTCTTCCATTTCTTACAGAATTAAGCTCAGCAACGTTTACTCTAAAAGTTAAAGACAGTGCTGCTGAATTCAACCTAGCAACAGGGCAGACACCATTTCTTTTTAAAACCAGCCTCAAGAAAAAATCCTTTTGACCAAAACATTAGTCCAGAAAGTTGTACAGTTTGTAACGTTGTATAATTGTATTCTGCCACCAGTGTAAGGATGAAAACATCATTTCTGGTTTTGTGTGAAATGTTGTCAGTCCCCAATAAAGTAATTTAAAAGAAAAGTAAAAGATTATACAGGTCTGATTCCGTCAGACTTACAGCACCCCTCGTTACTTACAGCACCCCCCTG